TTGACGGAGTCGTGGCGTCGCGCGCATGGCACCGTCATCTCGGACTCTGTGGTGCAGAAGTCGTCCGTTGGGCCAGGAGTCGGACATCGGAGGCCTTCGGTGGGCCGACGGAGGCAACGGCCACAACCGGTAGCTGTTGGCGGGCCGGGTGGACCGTGGAGGGCGAGCAGGGGTGCCCTGTCGTCCGTAGTCGACCATTGGCTTTGATGCGAAATGCGGAGGAGGGCAATGACTCGCACAGCACAGCATAACGACGACCTGCTGGCAGTGGAGGGGCCCCAACGGTCGAAATTTGAACCACTGGCGTCCGCCTGTGTCCTCCTCCGCGCGCTTCTCACCTCCCCGTCCTCAACCGGCCAGGGCCCACCGCCATCTGTACCACGGACACCAGGCTGCAATGGGTGGACATCGACGGCGCGGCTCCGTATACGTATATGAGAACTGGCCGCGAGAGAACGGTTAGGACGGTTCCTAAAAGATTTTTTTTAGGATTGCGTGCAATGACGCCGCAACAAATCCTAAAATTCTTTTAGGATCCAGCGGCCTAGCTAAGTTGGGAAGGTATGCAAGTGGCATTTAGGAGGTCTTGGGTTCAATCTCCATTGGCCTCATGTACCTTCCTGGGCAAGCTTGGCGCCCGCCACCTAGAGATATGCCGTTGGTCCCCCCGAGTGGCATTGAGCAGAGACTGCTGATGTTCATAGGAGGGGACTTGAGGGGAGGCACAGTGACTGGCCCATCGAAGAAGCTCGGTCCTGATGCTACCGGCTGACCCCTGGCCGGTATCGCCCACCTGCTGTAGCAGGTATCGCACCTCCTGGTGGGTGCAGCTCCCGTATGTTCCCTCGTTGGAGTCTTGAGCACGGGTGTGGCTGCTACGGGGTTCCCCGTAAAAAAAATTAATAAAAAAAAAAAATTCTTTTAGGACTCTTCCTAAAGAATTTAGGAATCTTTTAGGAGTGTCTACCCAGACCCTAAGGCCTGAATCTAGACTTGTCTAGTTTTTCTTTTTTTTTTAAACTATACTCTTTTGAGTTGTGGCACAAGCTTAGGACGTTTTATAACTTTTCCCAAAAAACATTAGTGAGCACGTGACCCCTTTCCTTCCTTCCCGGGACCAAGTCCCACTAGCAGCGTCCAGTTTCAAGCTAATGCCTGAATCGGGACTGGTCGAGTTCCAAACTCAAGGCTGCTAGTGGGACTTGGTACTTGGGGCCATGGCGATGTCCCAATAGGAGACTTGTCCTTGCTGCTGCTGCGTCCTTTTTCTTTTTTTATTTTATTTTTTCTGGTAACCTGTTGTATATTTGTCTTTGCTAGCTACTCAATGGGCCATTGGAAGCTGCCCAGAGAATGCTAGGGGAGTCTGCTCTTATCAGCTACCCTAGCATTAACTCAGGGTCCCTTTTTTTTTTTTTTTTTTTAAAAAAAGCTACTCAATGGGCCACGCTCTGGCACTCAAGTGAGAATGAATCTTCCTCTAGAACATGGAAAGAGCCGGCACCATATGTTTTTGTCTTTTGTGCATGTGGTGAGTAGTGTAGCGAGGCCCATTTCCTCCTCGGTTTTGTTTTCTTCAAAGGTCCGCCCCACAGACTGACATCCGGCAGTTCCGCCAATCTCTCTCTCTCTCTCTCTCTCTCTCTCTCTCTCTCTCTCTCTCTCTCTCTCTCTCTCTCTCTCTCCCCCCTC